TATCTCTAGTGGTTAGTGGTCTCTCCAGAGGACAGTAAAGTACCAGTAATAAAGTAACTAGTATTTGGAATGTAGAAGTAATGACAAATCAGAATGAGTGGTCTGTGTCTCTCATTAAGGATTAGAGAAGCTGATTTATAGTTTAAACTGGGAATTCAGCAAGGTCTTTGATTACAAGAACAGTTTGACTATTGTGACCTTTTTTAAAGGACAGATGAACAATCTGTGGATTATGGACATCTTCCTGAGCACTTGTTCTTTATTTGTTATTGTCAGATTTATTTGCTTGCTAAATAAAAATGTAATGGTTTATCATATAATTCAGATGAAAGCACTAATTATGATGAAACAGCAATGCCTTTAGGGAATCAGGGATAAAAAAGACAGAGGACTATTTTATGTAATACAATAATAGCTTTCTTACTGCATCTTTCACTTAAGAAAACTAAAACTACAGCTCCCTGAAGCTAGGATTTCTGTAATTTCTGTCTAATGAGGAAGTATTCCATGGAACTGCATTTATATATCAGGTGTTAGAGAAGTGTGTTCTTCAAGAAATCATACTTCAGTCTTTTCTGTTGTTCTAGAATACTATTATTTCCTTCTACTATTGTTGTTCCCTCAATTAGTGCTTAGGAAAGAATCTGTCCCTGACTCTGTGGATGCTGTTATTTCTGTTTGAGTGGGGGAAAAGAATCCACATCAGCAGAATAGCCTCAAAAGCTTTCATGTCTGTGCTTACCTTCCAGAATACAAGTCTGCTTACTTAAAATGCAATGATCCTTCAACTGTTCTCATTTTCTGGAATTAGTTTAGAAGATCTTCTTGTTGAGCAGGTATCTTGCAATGCTTTGAGATAAAAGAGCATGCCTTATCTCTTAGGCCTGTAGATTGATGGCTTGGATCAGGTTTTCTAGGCTAAGAATGGAAAGTTACTCGGGGCTGATTTCGGCTCCTGTGTAGAGACAGCTGGAAAAGATCAGCCACTATCACTAGAGGGGTCCCCACTCTTGCCTATGCCTAGGTGCTGCAGAGTTGGCATAAAAGATGTAGCTGAGTTTTGTTGTTTCTCATCCTATATTGTGGATATCGCTATGTTTGTGAGCTGGCTAGGTAGATGAGTTAGCTGTGTAGCATTAGATCACAGAGTCACTCCTTTGTGTTTTGTCAGTGATGTTTTTACTCCAATATCTCTTAATCATGTCATAGAGAATACCTGATTTCTCTGCTCACTTGACTCTTTCTGTGAATGAGTCAGTGGTAAGCTTGTTAAATTTCATTTGGCTCTATGAGTAGCTGCAGTACAAATTTACATGTGTAAAGAACGTATTTGGTTCATCCAATAATTGAAGGTAGCATAAAATTAATTTTGCTTAATCAAAGGGATGTCCAGTCTTCTGAAAGTACTGACTATGGTCAGCTATTTATTGAATGAGATGCTGATGTGTTTGAAATTATAAGCTGAGTACCATCCAGCAGAGAGAAATTGTGTCTGGTTTGCCACTGAGGTTTCTGTCTAGAATCACAATAGGAACTCAAGTGAAATGTCCCTAGCATATAACTAAATTACCAGATGTGGCTGTAAGGATAACTGGGGTATTTGGGTTTGTTCTTATAATGCCAAAACAGGGGGTTAAACACCTCTGTATTGCTTCATTCAATTGCTCTGTTTCCATGTAGCATATTCCATTTCAAAACAGAGCTTTAGATATATGTAGGTCTGATTTTACGTTCTTTATGAGACAAAATTTTGAAAGATTAAAAGTGTCCTGTCTAATTTTAAATTTATAGTTAGGCTTTAAAATTATTTCTTTTCCCTCTGGCATGCCTCTGGGGGCACATGACTCCATACAATCATGTGTGTAGGTGCTTAGTTTAGCATTTAAATCAACATGCCAAGAGTTTACACCTTCAACGTTGCACACAGTTAAGAGATCAAGTCTTAGATGATCAAGATAATCACTCTCCATGCATAAATGTGCTCATCTGTTAATGCACACTAATACTTTCTCTGCAAAGTAGACAAGTGGCAAAGCAAATAGTCTCATGCTATATATTCAGAGCTGTTTTACCATTTTCGAGACTTGCTGTAGGGAAGATCTCTGTCAGATTAAAACATTGTTGGAACTCATGAGCCAAAAAAGTAATTTCTGATCTCTGCATGCCCTCTATATAGTCCCAACAGACAAATTCAACCCAGTGCAATTTGCTTTGCAATTTTTCTGAGCAGGAAGTCGTGAAGTACTTATGGCATGACTAGATATGAATTAATCTACAACTGAGAATATTTACTTTTACTCTGTAACTTTGATTAAAAGACCAAAGCATTTGTTCTGCAAACTGATTCCAATGCAACAAATGATGGAATATATGCCACATGCTTAATTTAATCACGAAAATATTTCTGTTAACTCCAGAGAGAGTAGTTATGTGCCTAAAATCATGTGCCCGTTCAAATTTGTTGTTGTTCAAAGCCTGCATATGTAATACTTACCTTTGTTCTCTTTAAATTGCCAAACTGATAAGGACCCCAACTCTAACAATCATCAGTATTATGTTATTCATAGCAGTCAGGCATCTGCTCAGACTTCAGGCTGCAGAATTTCTTAGCTCATACTAAAATAATAACACCAACAACTACAGCCTCATTGTTCTTTGACAGAAACCCTTTGAAAATCTTGCCAGCAAGAACTGTTTTTATCTCAACAAAAACACAATGTACAGGTCCCCTGCTCTTAACCCCAGGATGCTTTAAGAAGAATCCAGACTTGTCCAATTGCAGTATTATTGATGAGTGAAACCTTTTTTTGTGCTTTGTAATACTTTTTAAAGCGGCACAAACAATATTCATCCATATAGTTGTCAGGGCCCAAGTGTACAAATAAGCCTTAATTGACCTGAGTGCGGCAAGGACTTTTTCCAACTCATCACTGTCATTATAGCTCTTCAGTATCCAAACAGGCTCTAGTTGGAATCAAAGGCAAGTGTTATGGCATGCACTGGCTTGCAGAGCAAGAGGGGAAAGAAGAGTACTTACGAACTATCAGAAATAAAAGGGTTGATCCTACAGTACGTTAGAGTTCCTATGCTTGAACAGCTGCTGTTTCCTGAGGTCTTGGACTCGTTCTGTGGAGCAGTCTAAGGAAGTAAGCACTAAAGGTACTTTAGGATTTGCAGGAAGACCCTGAAGGGCAGAGATTGTACTGCACAAAACAAACTCAATTTGCCTGAAAGAAGCAGAGAGCAAGGCTTTTTAGATTTTAGCGAAAAAAAAAGCGGGAGTGGAAGAGAATAAAAGGAAGAAGTAACAGCAGTACAGAAGCAAATAAAGAAATCAAGTAAGAAGGGAGAAGTGAGAAGGAAATGAAAAGACAGTTTGCAGCCAAAGAATCTTTGGGACAAACAGGGCATGGAAATGTTCAGGTCATATTGATACTAATGAGTATGTTCCAAGCTACTTCTCACTTGGAGTGTAACTTAAGAGTGCAGGAAATTGGCAGTGAATTTATATTTTCCTCCTCTGATGGTGAGAAAAGTGAACTCTATGGTCCATTCGGTCATTTAATCTATTCTTCTATGAATCACTCTTAGACAATGGTTACTAAGGATATCACAAAGAAAGGAAAATCAGGCTCAGCTGATACTGTGATGGGACAGAGAATCGAACTGCTAGAAAAGGAGGTCTTTTATTACTTTATAGACTGTTTCTCTTTACTCTGTCCGTTGGTACTAATGCAATGCCCCAGCATGCTGTTAGCAAGTGCTGCAGGGCTTAAAATTTTCTCCTTACAAAGTATGTTTCTATTTTATAACTGAAGGCCAGTTGAGCCCAGACCATGCTTTGAAAGCCATTTTAAGCCCTCTCTATTTCAATTTTGGGTGTCCAACTTCAAATACAACTCTGGATTTACATAGATATGATCTTGCCTTCTCCATTAGACAAATTCTAGATGTCTAAAGAGATATAATGGCAATGATCAGTTGGAAAGAGTTCATACTATATGGACAAATATTGTTTGTGCCACAAAAAGCATTACAAAGCACAAAAAAAGGTTTCACTCATCAATAATACTGCAATTGGACAAGACTAGATTCTTCTTAAAGCATCCTGGGGTTAAGAGCAGGGGACCTGTACATTGTGTTTTTGTTGAGATAAAAACAGTTCTTGCTGGCAAGATTTTCAAAGGGTTTCTGTCAAAGAACAATGAGGCTGTAGTTGTTGGTGTTATTATTTTAGTATGAGCTAAGAAATTCTGCAGCCTGAAGTCTGAGCAGATGCTGGAGTGCTACAGTTGAAGAAATGCTACATTTGTAACGATGTGGTATTAAACAATGTAACATTATGCAACAATTAAATATCTGAAAAATTATTTCCATGGAAAAATGTTGATTCTCTAATGTTTGTCTGCACATGCAGCAAAATTGGATGATGTTATAAGTTGAAAAATAAACGTAACATCAATTGTATGAGGCAAGAGTAATTCTAAGGCAAAATGCTAATAGAAGAAACAGCCATTTCATATAGGCTCTGGTCCTACAGATGTTCAAATGGCTATTTAAATATCATCTGATAATCTTTACTGGGTGAAAAAAAGCAGAAATTCTTCTCATAGCTTTTGGAAAATTTTTACAGAGGCTTTGCCTTCATATTTCTTTCATTAACATTTTATACATGCATTTTCCCCATGGTCTTCTTAACTGACTTTCCAGACAGATGAAGTGAAATACATTTGGCATTGGTAACTAGAAAGACCTATCTATGTAAGTCTGCCTGGTTTGAAGGTATCTGTTTTGGCCCTCTTCCTACCACGTGCCTTAAGTCAACCATGCATTTTTTACTCTTTATTTTTTCATTCAGTTTGCAATCAAAATATTACAACAGATTTGTAGATATCAATGAGATCCCAATCAGGAAATTCCCATTATTCTGAGCCTTCTTCCTAAAGGTACATGAACTGACTTCCTATAGTGTTACCAACAATTAATAATTTGAATTGGTAAAGAAACAGTTGCTGATGAGTTCTTCTTTCCCAGAAAGGTGAAACCGAATTCAGTTGGAGAAAAAATTTAAATTACTTTGACCATGCTAACTTGCTGTTTTCTACATTCTTAGGATGGTGAATATAGATTCCACTGATCATGATTTCCCTTCCCCATATACTCTCTTTTGGAATGTGAAGTCCAGCCCTAATTCTCAATAAAGATATAATTGGCATGCTGGGATTTTTGAAAGTCATAATTCATCTTTCTTCTTCAGGATGATTTTCCTTACAAGTTCTGTAACATAAGGTCTTATTTCTTCAACAGAGACAGTAGAGTCCCAGGCCTTTACTACTTTCCCATTGGGGTCCACCAGGTATTTCCAGAAGTTCCAGGTTGGTTCTTCTCCTGTAGAATCTACGGGCAAAATATAAAGTGGAAACTTAGAAAAGAAAACCACGTTAGCGAATTCCTGACATTTGTTCATGTCAGTTTGATGATTACGCTCTCAGAAGAAGAAGGAGTGTAAAATTAAGAGGGAGTTCAGACTGAATAATAAGATTAATTTTCTGACAGACAGGGAGCTTTAACTAGACAGTAGACCTCTGGAGACTAATGGAAACAGTCAAGCTTGAGACACACAGACAGACAGGAGAAAGCACTATAATTGGTGTTAAAGTGTGTGCGCGCATGTGTGTGTGTGTGTCTGTGCTATACAGATAAATCTGAAACAGTTGAACATTGATAGGAAAATGGAATTTGGCATAACAATATAGCTGTAACAGGACTAATTATTTGCTTGCTTACCCAGAATTTTTCCTCCAAAAGCACCCGCTACCATGTGCTTCAGAAGAATGTTTTGAGAAATGCTACATGAAGAAATAACAAAGTAAATTGTTCCAGAAGGTTTCTTCCTAATCCTCATCTACTACAGTTTTTGCCTCTGTGACCACATACTCATTTTACATGAGTTGCGTTCTTATTCTTTACTATTCTGCTACATGACTAACAAAATTTTCAGGATTTTCAACCAGACCAGGAGCCTCATCCCACTAATCATAGTACAAGTACAGACACTACAGACAAATTAGCGTCTTTTTCCATTGATTATACATTAGACATAATCTCATAAGGAATCAGAAGGTATTTCAAAGTATCATCAAGAAACAGCCAGACCTATGCTGTTGGCTATCTTGTCGTTATGCTGCATAAATATACTACCTCCAGCAGCCGTCCTTTGTGTGTGGACCAACAGGGAAACAGGGGTTTTGCAAGTTTCGTGTGACATGTACATGTCTGCAGTAACAACCCCACTGGGCAAAACAGAAATGGGAGGATGTGAAGAGGATTACAGGGAAGTTTGGCTAGGAGAGAGATCCATTACAGACACCTGGAAGGAGTGTGCTTGGGGTAGTCAAAAATAATACTACCAACACTCTCTTAAATTCAGCGGTATGTGGGAGAACACTGTGGTGCTGGAGAAAAGAAGTGATAAGGTAACTTGCAGAATGCAGCTCAGGTGATGCTGTGTCATACTGGGCTTTATTATATATCATTGCTTCACATAGCTTCACATTTCCTTCACATTGGATAATGACTGACATTTTAGTTCAGCCTTTAAATGGTATTTAGAGCATTCATTCAGTGCAAGAAAAATAGTGCCTTGATAGAGAATATCCTGCTTTACAGTGTATTTTATCAGCTGTCTGCTAAGAACTGGCAAAACCTCTTCAGGTCTCAGTGCTAGCTATAATGCAGATTAGAACTGGAGGAAACGTAGAGTGTGGATATTCCAATGCTTGGCAAGGAATGAGGGCGTATTCAAGGACATCTCATAGTGCCTGGTTTCACTTTTTGATTGTTGAAGTAAATTATGTAGGTGCTTTGCTTCCACTTATCCTACAGCTCTTGAGGTGAATCTTATAAATCCAACCTGCAGCAGTTGTGTCACAGGAGAAGCATTTACAAGACTGCAAAGTGGAAAAAGGAAGATCAAGTGTTGTATGTATACAGGAGAATATCTCAAGACCTCTATTCCATGGGGAGGTTTATTAGTCTAGCTTTTACAGGGCATCTGTTATCGTCTTCATCCCTGGAGATCTTTTTAGAGGGTTTGACAAAACTGTCGGGGGTGCCAGAGAGAGAAATCCTGCCTTATGCAGCAGGATGGACTACATGACTTCTGACCTCTTTGAGCCTGACAATTCTGTGCCATGATTCTGTGAACAGAGTCATAGATATCTTTTTTCTGTCGGACAGTATTTTGTGTCAGAGGAATTCTACACTGGGGAGACAACCCTCCAATGTTCCCAATTACTCACCAATTAAGTACTTGAAGGCAGGAATTGCACCAGCTCCGCTGACTGCAATTTTGCTGAACATAGGAAAGGAGGCACCATAAGTCTTTCGCGCAAAACTCTCAATTTCTTTGTTAGTGTCTGGTTCTTGCTGCCCAAACTGATTGCATGGGAATGCCAGCACATTGAAATGATATGGGCCGAGGTCTCTCTGTAGCTGTTGTAAGGCCTTGTAGTGGCTATCTGTATACCCACACTCACTTGCAACGTTGACAACTAGCGACACCTGAAGAACAAGAGAGATTAAAAAATGTGCTGCACATGTCAGTTTTCCAATGGGTAGGCTGGGATGCAGATTATTTGCAAAAAATGAGAATGTCTGGAGAACCGTGACTGAACACTTATGTTTGAAACTACATCGAGTTCTGTTCACAATAGGAAGATTTAATATTTCTTTTATGTATTCCCATTTGAAGATAATCAGTAAACTGCTAAGCGATCTTAATTCTCAGTTTACAGAGAATCTATGTTTCTCCGTTCTGCCTTTTGGATAGTTTCTAAGCATATTGAAGAAATGACCATCCAGATAAGATATACCAAGTTGCATGAAAGAAACTTGCAAATGAATGTATTTTTGGTAGTTTATTTATCTGCTGTGAAGCATCTGTTCTGCAGCATCTTTCCTTGTACAAAATTTAGTACTCGGACAGAACTGGCTGATCCATTTATCGTTGCTAGTGTAGGTGTCTTGACCTGGAAGTTAACAGAAGTAATTATAGGATTTTGGGTTGCTCTGTGGAGTATGGACTGTAAAATTTCCCACCATTTCTAGAGTAAATCTACTCAGTTGTGACAAAAGGAGAACAGTTTTTGCATAAAGGTTTACTGCCTCAATTAGACATTCCAAGAAGTGAAGACTGTGCCCACTATCCTCTAAAGTAATTCCTGCAGCTGATCATCTTTGATGTGCGCATTGTGTCATTCAGACATTACTACCAGGCATGGTGGTAAAACCTGCCTGCGCAGATCCAGCAGAGAGCAATATGCCAAACACAGATGAGCACTACAGGAAAACAGGCATGTGTAAGAAGAATACACGGTGGAACAGACTCTGCCAAGAATTTGTTGGGGAAATTAAGTGACCTAACCCTGATCTGACACATACTACAGAGTTTCTCAAGGCGTTGCAAAGCTTTACACTGGTTTTTGAGATATTTTGTCCTTAAATAACTTCTAGATTTTATTTTGAGACTTACAGTTTTTATTAGTCTTACAAATTTTCTAAGTGTGAATTGCCTCTTGTTCTACATAAACTAAGTGCATTCTAATATTTTCTTGAGAGTGGATTAAAGCTGAATGTCATAGATATTTTAGATACAATATGATTTTATTAATAAAAATAGCATTATGCACTTTGTTGTGATGTTTCCTTTACATATAACTACATCCTATTCCTTTTTTCAGATCAATTTGTAAGAGTCATGAGGCAATATAAATATTATAATACTAAGAATGTTTCTAACCACCTAGATTAAACCCAGGCATAATGCAGAAAAAGCATTATGATTTGGGAACCGAAATTCTACCTGGATTACACTGAATCCAGTGGGATTCTATAGATTATACATCAGCCCAGAAACTGGCCCTTCATTCTCAAATTGCAAAAAAGTTTTAATTCAATCAAAGTAGCCAACACATTCCCCAGTGCTAGTACAACTACAGTAATTATTTACATTGGATCTTTCTACAAGAGTTTGGGAGTTTCATAGAAGCTGCCATGTTGGTTTCATGAGTGTCAGTGGGAGACAGCAGCGTTGCAGGGCCCAGTGCTGCAAGAGGAAAGCCTGAAGCTTGGCCACATTAATCGACTGGAACAAATTACACAGCAAATAGCTGCAGGGCAAGAAAAGGAAGTAAAAAATCCTGACTCCAGGTCTCATACTCTTGTATCTGTGACCACTGGCTTTGCTCAGTTTAAACTTTGGATTCTCATGTTACTGTTGTTCCATATTCCTATGTGTATGCTTTTATACAAAATATAAAGATATATAGGAAATAGGAATAGAGTGCATCAAATAAATTAGAATATATGAAAAATAAATGACTACATGTATATAGTGTTTTTAAGGCCAGAAAACAAACTGGCATATAAAAGCCTATAATCTGGGTAAGGTATGGGATCATAAAATGAAATCCCTAGAAGGGGTAGGAATGAGTAAAGAAAAAGCTAAGAGGATGTTGGTGTTCATCATTTCTTACATTAAATATTAACACTTACTTCGTGTATTTTGTACTTTGTATAGGTATATGGCTATATTTAAAGTGGTTTCAGAGGAGCACCGTTTTCCCTGGAAGACCGGTAATCTTATAAAGCACAAGTTGAAGTAGTGTTCTTTGTGCTGTAGTGGGTCAACAGAATACAGTCTAAGCAATCTCTGTACACTTGCATATGAAACATGATCTGGAGCCATCTAGCTAACCTCCAAAGCATCATATTAATTCAGACAACATTTACAAGCTGTACCTGAAATTTTAATTTCAGTCTCCTAAAACATCCAAAGATACGATTATTTTTTTTCAGAGAAGGGGTAATAATTTTATGATGCTTTCCTGTTGCAGGCTGTCAGCATTTCAAACAGAACTTATATATTGGGCTTAAAAAATAACTATTGGCAGTTCTGTTCTTTTCAAATAATTTGTATTTACAGAGCATAGCACTAACTGTAGTTTAGTATAATTGAAGTAAAGATAAATTGTACCACTAAGAGTTGAAGTCACATCTAGTTCTTTCATAAGAAATTCTAGAGGCTTTTTTAAATGTCGTTTAAGACTCAGCATTCTTATGATGCAGAAGTATTCATAGACCTTACTGTATTCACATCTATTGGTACTTTATCCCAAATACAATGGGAATGTAAGAATTTATGATTGGAGGTTCTGTAATAAGGTTCTGTAGGTATTATGTTCACATTATAACAGATATGAAAGATGACTTGCCGATGAAAACAATCAAGCTTTTATAACTTTTACTTGGTTTCAAAGTTAGGAGCGCTTGAAAGAATTCACTCAAAAAACCCAACAATTTTAATTTACAGCTGTTTAAAACTACTTATTACTCAGCATGGTGGTGAAAGGCATGAGAGCTCACACTGCAAATCGTGCAAACTTCCAAACATTCTTCCACAAAATAGGAGGAAACTACACGCAGCATTTCTTAGAATGGCAGACATAATCTTCTTCTCTTTTTTCCTTAGAAAAATGCATTCTATTACTGAACTGCATAGTTTAATAGTGCAAACCTCCTAAAAGTGTAACTAACATATATAATAAAAAACTTTCAGGATTTATTAGCATTTCATAAGGAATGTTTAAAATGATTATTTAAAAATCTTTACCAAGTTATTTTTCAAGTGTCAGGACCAGAAGTGATTAAATGTGGTGATTTTTTTTGGTCAATGTTTTATTTTTAATAAATAACAGTCACTCTTTATTCTCATGAAGAGGCTGTACTTTGACATCTTACAACTACTAATGATTTAAATTAAGTTCAATATGACTGACTGAAGGCTCTGAGAGTGCAAGTCAAGTACACCACCTAGTGTGCATTGCAAACAATTCATCCTGGACCTTACAAAAATTATTTCACTTAGGCTGAATTCTGTATCAACTGTTGTTTCACCTCTTAATATTATCCTTTCCTTCCCTTTGCTTAGAAAATCCATGCATTCTAGTAGCGAACCCATTTATTTAACACTGCAAAAATATTTCTTGGTCTACTTAATGTTTACACCAGTGTACCTCCTTGAGGAAAAGATCCGTGGACAGATTTATGAATCTGCTATCAGCTTCAAGTAACACTTTGTGGATCTTTTAGCAGAGACAGTAGATACTTAGGTTTTTACACCTGGGGATTCTTAACTGGCTCCATCTGATGGAAGAACCAGCTACAAGCGTCAGATTACACTGACTCACAGAGCCCTTACCTTCATGGAAAAAAATAGCAATACTTTGTACAGTAATTGAGTAACTATACTCTGTATTTATACACATTCAGTAATACTACATTCTCGAATTGCAGAGAGCTGTGATGAAAAGTACCTAGCATTACTTTCAATGGCAAAATAGTACTTTTCGTTGTTATAGTGCCTAATGCTTTTACATTATTATAGTACCTTTGGTTCAAGATTTCCAAAGCACTGCACTAACACTGCTTAATCACACCTCAGCACACTGTACTTAGCTGTGTGGTAGGTAGGCAGGCAGGCAGGCAGGCAGGCAGGCGGGGGGGTAGGTACTGTTACATCTAGCTAGCTATAAACACAGAAGGGAACAGTTGATGCTTGGGAGTTCTGACTCCCAAATAGATACTGGTTTTGGTAAGAATACTGCTTCTTACAGGATATCTGATAGAGATCATAAAATAAAATATATGCTTTCTTGAATTAGGTAGGTAGATAGATTAAACAGAAAACTAATTGTATTTGGATCCTGTTGATTTTTTTCCAACCAGGAGTCACTGCCCTTCATTTTTAACGTAGATGGTATGGTACGATCAGCACGGTATCCTGGAAAAAACATAGGAGGATGGTCTTCTTGAGCAACACAGTAAAACAGACAGCTTTTTGATCTATTTCGCTTGTGGTACTCTTTTTTTCAGTATTAATAGTCCTCCCTTTCTTTGCTTTCAAGTAGATGTAATATGATACCTGATTTTGTAGCACGTATGCCAAGTTTTTAGTGTTTTGGCAATATAATTTCTTATGCACCCATAAAAAAGGAGTACTCTCTCACATATTTTTTGGTATTTTTATTGAAGTGGACGATAGGTTATGTCTGTGCACATTTATTTCAGAAAAAAAAAATCTGTTCCCTAATTGTTACTTCAGAATTGTTAATACATTTCTTATTTACTATGTAACAGAGGGTACTTGTGATTTGTATCCAGATGCACTTAAATGGAAATTGAATTAATATCAGTTTTATTTTTTCTTACTAAGAAAAATTGTTTCAATGGTCTGAATACCCAATAATTTATATTAATAATGAGTTATTGAAGAAAGATTCTGCAAGTCATGAATTGCACTGGTTGTTTACACTTAGCATGGCTCTTGTGTTTTCAGAATTAGCAGACTTTTTTTATATACGCTAGAAGCTTTTGGATTTTTTTCAATTCTATCTTAGTTTTTTGACTACCAATTAAGTAGTTATTTAACTAAATTACTTGAGTGACTGAATTGAAGAAAATGTCTTTACATCTGCCAGAAAGCTTGAGGCTGTTAAAAGCTGGTTTAGCAATTAGCAGACTATTGTTCCAGGAGCTAACTAGTGACTCTCTCTAAAACACCAGCAGCGCATACATAGTACTTATACATTATTTGCTTTCTTTTAATAGCTCTAAAATATTATGATAAACCTACATCTTAACATTACTTACCTAACTGCAGATTTAAGCAGATTTATTTTAAGAAATAAATGGGAGTTTTAATTAACCTTTGTCTACCTTGATACTGAGTTCTGACGACATAATGACAGAAAGGGATGTGTTTTATTGCTATAATTTTCTTTAAAATTGTGCACATGCATTATCAAAGAGCAGCTAGCCTGAACATTAATAGGCTCTCTGAATGCAAATCTTTTTGTTTCATACAGAAGCTGGTCATCGCTTTTTTGCAATAAAATATTCCGTATGGCCTAGCAGAGATCAAGGAGTACCATCCACTGATGGCATTACCTTTTCCAAGGTACGGCTCTAGAGGTAAGGCTAGAGGTAAGGCTCTCCCCTATGAAACTAGTCATGCCTCAAGGATGGCCTGCTATCACAGCACCACTGGAGATACAGACACATACCCCTAACCTGGCATGTTCACCACATCCTGAATCAGGCTCTGCAGCTTGTTCCGGAGCGGATGAACATCCTCAGCTCTCTCCAAGGTGGTTGTAAGGAATTCCTCTGAGTGCCCCCTTTGCTGCCTTCCATGTAGATTCTGGCCCTGAGGTAGAGAAGCTACAAGTGCTATTTGCTTATTCAGACAAGATTTGCAGATGACCTGCAGACAAAACATGCCCCGTAACAGGGCTTATTGACAGAGCCTTTGGAAGGAACTCCTAAAAAAAAAGCTAATATTGCTTAATATTAAATAGCTACCATGTTTTTTCCAATACAGATATTTGAGTGGGCATGGGACCAGTTCTGCTCTATCTGAATTGTGCACAGATGGGGAGGAGAACTTTGACCAGGTAAGCTTCAGACCTCTTGTTTGGTCCAAATGCACCAGTATCCCCTTTCTATTGAGCTCAGGAAAATGTGCATCTCCTCCCATATACTTTCTCTGTCTTCCTGCCAATGTTTTAGTGGCCTACTGCTGTGGACTGGTGAGCTCAGACACCTCAGTGAAGTACCTGAGGAAGGGGAAAAGGAAGTGGAGACACAAAGCTGGAGAATAAGGGTGAAAGTGAGAAGCAGTGCCTGCCTTTTTTGGCAACAGCTAAGCTCTTGGTCTGCCTGGCTGTATCACAGAAGATGTGTCACTTGAGCGCTACGGGTGGCAGTTGTAGGCTTTATGTTGATTTTAGCTTCTGTAATTTGTGAGTGTGGCTATCACAGCTTATGCCCCCTGTGTGCTAAGGTCCCTTTTCACTCTTCCATAGGTATTGACCATCTTTCCCAGATGGTCAAACGGCTAAAAAAAAAAAAAAAAAAAAAAATTAAGATTACATTCAAGGAAAATGTTCTTAAAATGGGAAGGAAAGCTCTGCCTAGAACGCCTTAGTGTAATATGTAAATAAAATTTAAAACACATCTTAAAAGTATATGTGCGTCTACATGCCCTTCTCCGTATTGCTCTGTCACACTAAAAAGCAACAAGCGGAATAGCATGATGTTGCCACAATTTCACTATACCCTAATATTAAAATAATTATGACATCTCTCACTTTTTTGCTAATTATGGTGAAACCTCCACTAGTCACTGCTTAAATCCCATCTTTTTTTTTTTTTTTTCCCCCCAGGTAGAACATAGTAAAAATATTTTACTAAAAGTTATGCAGTTAAAAGGCAGAAATAAGCTCCAAAAGTAAGTTATACAAAAGTATAAACTTCCTGAGCTTCAAATTTAATAGCCGCAACCCAGTGCAATTCATCCTGCAGAAGGCAAGGCAGGCAGGCAGGCATTCCCTCTCTGCCACGTCTACAGGCAGCAGCCTGCAGAAGGAAAAGACGCGGACAGACACAGACGTTAGACTGCAAACGTTTTATTTAAAGAGCGCAAAGACCTATGGAGCGGTATCAAAGGAAACATGCAGGCAACACTCCAGATCAGTTAAAGAGTCGTCGTAAACCCAGATTTATCTGCCGGTGTGCGCCAAGTTAACGTACAATCTCTCCACCCCCCCTTGGTTTCGCAGACATGCAAGGACTGGCCGGTTAGTGAGTCTGGGCGAGAGCTGCCCGTCTCCGTGCAGACTTACCGAGCCCCTGTATTTCTCCAGAGAGACTAGTTTGCCCCTGATGTTTACAACTTTGAAAGTGTAAAAATCAGGCTCTTTCTGCTGCGTAGCAGAAAATGCTAAGAGCAGGAGTGCTGCAATTGCAAGGAGCATGGCTAGAGGGATGAGGAAAACTTTGGGGAAGGAAGAGGAAGGCTTGTGCTCCACACTGCCCTCAGGATCTAGCATGCTGCACGGCCGTGCTGCCGAGAGCCTGGCCACGGTGGGAAAGCGCTGCCGCAAAGAAAGGACTGCTGCAAACGCAGCTTTTGCAACAGTCTGACTTCTGCAAAGGCTTGGGAGCTGTGTCCATACCAGACCTCACGAGGATGTAGTTATGGACGATTCAGACACGCTGAAATGGAGTATTTCGTGATGGTAGTGGTGTATTAAGTAAGGCTGTTTATGGGTACAAGATGAATGAAAGTGCTAATCGGCTCAAGAACAGTAATAACGTATGTGTCTGCAGGATACCAGTCAGATTTAGAGATCTGCTTTAACTATGTCCTAGGAAAATAAGGGATGGAGTTATGGTGATTTTTGATGGATTTACAAGTCCTTTTTTTTAGTATACTAACGATAGCATCTAGTAGCGACAGTGTAATGTCAAAGGATACCAGTGGCTTGGTTGCTAGTGGTTACTGATGCAAGCGCTCAGAGCAGGAGTCGTAGCATACGGTCAGCACAAACAGAATTACAAATATGCCATGCACACTATCATGTGAAATGGAGCACCATTAGCCAGGCCTTCAGGAAATTTCTCTCTGCATGCACTTGGCGGGCAAGAAGCAAGTGGCCAGACCACTGGTCTTCACAGTGTGATTTGGGAGAAACCACATTACCAAAGGGTTTCTAAACAATAAAGAGGCATTAAGCATCAGGAACCGAATTTGGTACCAAAGCTTTCAGATATACCGAGACAAATCACTGCTTCAGTGCACCGATGCCATTCTTGGGTTCTCTGCAAGAACAAATAGCCTTTTGTACAATTTGCTACTACACCTGCTGGAAGAAAAGGATTTGTATATATAAAGTAACAACAATAGAAAGCATTTGATGGTCATTGATTTCTTCTTGGACTGAGAAACTGGTCCTTCATGCCTATGATTCTGATAATTCTTGGCACAGAAAAGTGAAATGTAGTGATTTACAGAAAACAAGTAGCACATCCAAGGCATATTGGAAACCTATCTTTTGAAGAGCAAATTACATTTTGTAATCTAACTTTCTTATTGTTATTTTTAACTGAGTTTTGGTAGATCTTTGACATCTTGATTAAATTTGGTTAGGGAATTCAAGCATAAGTGGCATTACTGTAAGTGAAGAAGCCATATATAACTAATAGAAAAATTTAATTACAGTTTTTAAGTATTTCAGATTTTCATGTTTTTATGTATTTCAGCTTACGTAGATATCCAGCATCAAAAAGTAATGCAATGTGCTACAAAAATATACAGATGGAAAATCTTCTACCATGCTGTCTATGGGGAAGATACACTGTGCTAAGAATCTGAAGTTCTCATCTTCACAGGTAAGTGCTCTTTCTGTGTACTTTCCTGGCTGTAGTATTGACCAAGAACCTTTCCTTCAGATAACAGTCAAGTATGATTTCTTAATTTCATAAATAAATTATCTGAGAAATTTTAAAGTTTCTTCAGACACAGCTGGAGACAGAGAATAGGGCTTTAATATAGTATATACATTTAAATATTTTTTAAAAACGTAGTAAATCCTAAAAATAATTTAAAAAATCATTCCAACAATGAAAGTAATTCAACATAAGCATTTTTGGGGCAGAAAATTAAAAAGAAATCTACAATACCCTTTTACATTTTTGAGGCATAATGTTATAGTAGTTTGGGTATGGGGCTAAAATAAGGCATCATACTGCAATGTGAGACAAGCAAGGTTTTGCTCTGGAAAGGGACTTTATAAAATCTGCTTCCTACAGCTTTATGATTATTGTCTCTTATTTCTAGATAAAATTTAGTGGCTTTCAGAATTATATTTTCTCTTACAAACTGAGCCCAGAATCTGAAAGTTTTTGGTCACTAGCACTGAATTGGGAACTCTTTAAATAATGGCATTAGAATTCAGCTTCCTCATTTACTGCCATGTTTCTATATTGTTCCCTGCAATAAAACATTCTTTAACATCAGCAAAGAAGGAAGAATTGTTCCTGAATACACATAGAGACTATGTCAAAGACTGTTGGCTTTATAATGATTCAAGTTTTCATAGCCAAACTGCACTAACATTTCATATTAAAGTCTATCCAAATACTTGAACTAAATCTGATATATTCTAATAAATTTCAGCTTGCAGGAAAAATGCCAGTGAAGTTTGCAAACTGGAATGTTTGCTCACTAGCATGTTTAAATGTTGATCTAGGGGGACCATATCCAGCAGCAAGTATAATTTAGTTACTTTTGCAATTTACTCTTTGGCCTACTAAACCTAATAAAAATCTTTGTCAAATAGAACTGGACTGAAACCACCACGCAGCTAACCTCAGCTGTCCCCCAAACAGCATTGCAGCACTGCAATTTCTGTCACTGCTGACCTGGACCGGATCGGCCCATGTTCCTAAAGGTGAAAGCTCTGCACTACATCCCATTAGCAATACCCTGAGCTATCCAATCCCGATTTCGTAAAACGTGAACTTCAAGTGAACCACAAAAAGCAGGTTAGCTCTAAAGATTGCACTGGCTTCACAATACATTCAGAAGTACATCATGCCAGTATTTATAGACTCCAGTATTACAGATTTTGCAACTTTCGTTTACCTACAAAGACTCTCTGAGGTAGTGTTTCCAGCACTACTATTCACATTAATATTTTCCTTTGAACCCTTTTAGTAATTCAACATTAATCTTTTATGCGCTTTTTCTGGAAAGGCCTCCTTATGCTGGGCTAGGAAGTGCCAACAACATGACATTTCACTGCCAAGGGGCAGTACTGTACTGCATCACAGAGAGATTTGCCTTACACAAGCATTTGCCAATTTCTTTAGGTCATCCTCCAGCACTGCCAAGAGCCAGGCAGGCCAGCTCTTCTCCCCCGAGACCTGCAAAACTACCAGCAGACATGCCGGCTGCGACGCTGTCCCTAGCTGCTGTCCCTAGCTGCTGCCGAAGCCAGCTTCATAGCTAAGGTCAGGTATCCAGGAGCCATTTCCCCCAGCGTCCCTGTTTACCACAGGCTGCTTTGTGTGGAGCACACCGGCCCTTCTCTGCCAAACGGCAGCGTCGGAAGGAGATGGTGGGGGGAAGCCCTGAGGAAGGGGGGAACAAGGCCCAGGCTGCGGCGTGGGGCAAACCCTCCAGGTGGGCCCTAACCCTGCTCCACAGGGCCTGGGGCCTAGCGTGCGTGGCGAGAAGCCTGGGATGAAAAATAGGGGAAAACCGGAAAAAATTAGGGTGGCTGCGAGGGCGATTAAGCAAAAAACGGAGCTGCTTATTCTCACATCCCCGTTTCCTGCTGTGGCACTGAG